AATATTAATGGAGAACAGCTATAAAAAGATGGCCTCCTACATGGGTCTAACATGCTTTGAAGGCCATTCCAAAACAGGGTTTTCGGAAAACTTTGAGCAATAGCAGTATATATGGACTACACTACACAGAGGGGATACTGTTTAGATGTACAAGAATATGGGTGTTTGTAGAAAAACTAGTTCTATTATGCTTCCCATCTGTGTTTGGATGGTTAATATATAATTATGCTACTTATATTTATGATATGTCATTTGTAAATCATGTATTATAAATAAATAAAATATGAAAGATAAAGCCATAGTACCACTGTTCTTACCAGTAATGTATACTCTGTGCAACTCTAAAAAATCCTGTGATAGGACTGGAGGCAGGGAGGCATTGTGTCCATATTGTGACAAAAGAGAAAATGGCCAATTCACACCTCTGCTTCCTTCTTCACTGCCCAGTTTCCCCCAGATTCAATTCTAGATTTATTCCCAATGCCTTGTCTCACTGCCCTACTGAAGGAGAACTGCAGTTACTCTTGGGCGTTTGGAGCAATGAGGTTAAGCATTACCAACAACCACTATTCCTGCTCTCCCAGAGGGGTTTTATTCCTGTTTTGTTGGACCCATGAGTTTCTCATTCATTCTTTCATTATCTCACTCATTTGACGGCTACTTATTGAATCCACCATGAACCAGGTACTGGCTAGAAGTAGCTACACAGAGATGGGTAAGATAAAACAAGATACTGTCTTGGCCTCCCTCCAGGAAACATAGAGCATAGAGTCCTTAGTTCTCCTGTAAGTGAGCAGGGAAGATGAAGTATAAAAGATGAATAAGAGTTTAAAAGACAGGAAAAAGGACTTTCCAGACAGAGGGAACACTTGTGCAAGGCCCCCAGAGGCTTGAAGAGATGAGGTTCTTGAGGATCTGCATGTTCATGGCTCGGAGGTAAGATCCATGGAGAAACAGCAAGGAATGGCTCAGGGAGTCTTGGGGTCTCTTCTAAGGAACTTTGTCTCAATGGGGAAACCACTGAAAGCATTTAAGCAAGAGAGTGACGTGGACAGCTGTACATTTTAACAGAATCATTTGAGTGACATGATGGAAAATAAACTGGAAGGAGGACAGAAGCAGACAGTGAAGTCAGGAGGCTGCTGCAATAATCCACGAAGGAAATAGTGAAATCTTGAATCACAGCAGCGGCAGTGGCCGCGGGGATAAACAAAAGGGGAGACATTCAAAATAAATTTATGAGGTAAAAAAGACAGAACCTAGTGACCAAATAAATATACATGGGACTGATGAAAGGGTCACCAACAACCTCCAAAGTCTCTCTCTAGTCTGGATAACGACTAGTGGGGGTGGTGCAGGGGAGAGGGCAACCAAGATATAGAGCAAAGCAGAAGAAAAAAGAAAAGATTGAGGGGAGGGTGAAATCCATGCATTGTTTTAAACACGTTGAATTTGAAGTGGTTGTACAACGTGTCCAGCAAACTGTAGCGAATATGAGTCTGGCATCCAGGGAAGAAGTCCAGGATGGAAAGAAAGATTTCATAATTATAGACATGGACGGTGGCTGAAGCCATGGTAATAACAAGGAGTTACTGAATACTTACTACATACAGGGCACTGTGCTAAATACTTCATATTTTTTTTACTTTCATTTAATTCTTATAACAACTCACAAAATAGATATTATGATCTCTATTTTCGGGATCTGCAAACTGAGGCCAGAAAAGTTCGCCCAAGATCACAAGAACTGTAAGAGTTAGGCTGTCATACTATTAATATTAAGTTCATGGATCCCTGTGCTTTTTCTAAAGAGCAAGAGATGTCTAGGGAAAGCCTGAAGCCAGCAGGTCCCAGAGGACTGACTGTGCAAGGGGCCTTTCTACCTACCAGCACGCCCCTCAGCTCCACACACCACACCCTTCTCCCTGAGGACCAGCTCTTTTAGAGGAGTCACACAGGTTGCAGGTGAGTCTCGATTTCCAGAAGAACACGGAGAATTAGATGATCAAATCATCACCCTCCTCCTCCTCCTAAGATCTCCACTTCCACCATCCATCCCTACCCAACAGCCCATGCACATATGCCTCTTTAAGGCCCTTCTCCAACTAGGGCCCTGCGGAGAGGACCGGGGGTACTCAGAAACACCTGATACAGCACGTCTCTCCCACAACTTTATTTGAAGATGCTAAGAACCCATATTAAAAACAACAACAAATATGAAAGCAAGCACAGTCTACCTGGAACAAAAGAAAGCTAAGTTTACATGATGAACAGACTGGAGTCTATGTAGAAATGTCCTGCTTCAGGCTGCATCAGGCTGAATGAACTCATATCTCCCCTGCCCCTAAAGTCACTTGTCTGAAACTTTACGAAGCGCTAAAACAGTCAACTCGAAGAGCATCATATTTAACAGTGAAAAATGTGATGCTCTGCTCTGTTTAAGTATATGGAAATTATGCAAATAGTCACAGCAAGAAGAAAATCTCTGGGGAAACTATCTGCAAGTAGGAATGAGCTAATGAGATTATAGTTGCAGTTTGTTCTAAATGTCCAACATCATTAGAACTTGAGCTGGTTAACTTCCATTAAGCTTTATCTTAACTTAGAAAAAAAAAAAGGGCATCTTCACCAAAGTCAGAGATTAATTATCAATACATTTCCTTCACAAAGGATATACTTCGGGATGTGTATAAATAGAGCTAGGACATACAAAAGCCGTAAAGAGACTTCTTATTCTACTATACTTTAATGAGACCTTTATCTGAGCACCTGCCATCCACAAAAAAGACGGGTCACAGTGATCATCAAAAATAACATTTATACAACACTTTTCATTTATATTTCACACATTTAATTCTCAGTCATCTGATGAAGCCAGTAACATTATTATTCTATACTACAGTCATGTAACATGCTAGTGAATCTTAGAGTATAATTTTAGAGAGAGGTCATTCCGTTCTGGCTCCTCATTTAACAGACTGGGTCCGGGGATGTAAATAACACTCCCAAGGTCACATCACTGGACCGCAGGCCTGGGCCTGTACCCAGGTCTCCTGGCTGTTCCACTACCATACACTGGCTCCCTCTGGACCACCTGAAGGTGCCCAATAGAGAAGGGGGCAGAGACCTAGGGATCTGAGAAATGTGGCCTAGAATCCCAGCTCTACCAACTACAGCCATGTGATCTCGACCAAAATGCTTCATCAATCTGGGCTTCAGCTTTCTTACCTCTAAAACAGTAATAGTAATAAACAACCCTCCAGAGTCATCCTAAGCACTAAATGCAATTAACTGCATAAATCATTTGCTTGTAGTAAAGAGAAAGAATTCCTCGGTTCCAGGAAAACATGACAAAGGCACTTTCACAGTTGAATTGACCACTATCCGGGCTGCAGAATATGCTTCTGAGCCAATCACTTCTGGCCTCGGCTGGCAGGGTGCTTTTTCTATGCATTAGCAATTTATTTCTGAACAAATGTCAGAAATTATTTCATTTTGCAGTTCTTGAGCTGAAAATTTTTATTCAATATCTTTTATGCAAAGAAATGCCAAAACAACTACAGTAACAGCTAATACTTACATAACTCCTACTTATGTGCCAGAGACTGTTCTAAGCACTTTAAATGCATTTAATCCTCACCCAAATCCTGTAAGATAGTTCAAGGGTAATTGAGCCAATGAAACCTAAGGTTTTAAAAACCTAGCACAGAACATTGTCCTATTCATTCTCTTCTCCCTGGCTCATCTTTCTATGTGGTTGAGTAAGTGTTGGTGCGGCTTCAAACATCCAAATGACAGTGACAGAAATAACAAATTCACCAGATAAGATTAAGATAAGAGTTAAAGGAATTTCAGAGGCATTTCAGTCCAAATCTTTTTCTTGGCAGTAGGAAAAACTGAGGCCCATGCTCTGAGCTGTCCAAGAAATACAAGCAAGAAATGATGACAAGGATGTGTGGAAAGTGAGCTTCTACTGTCCACACTCTTTCCTCTCTTTTCTACCATCTCTACCACCATTTCTACCATTCCCACCACATCTGTGAGAGCCAGAACATTCTTCCCAGATCCCCAGGGAGCACTAACCTGTCTCAGAAGCATTTTATATCTCTATTACATCACTTAACACCTGCTGATTTTAATCTCCTTGGGGCCAAAACCAAGACTCAGTCTTCCCCGCACAAGGCTTGGTAAACTACCTGATTGATACCTCATTTACCGACCCAGACCAGAGCTCCCTAGGGCTGAGAGTTCTCCTTTTTCCATTCCCCAGCAGCCAGGACTCCAAGCCTATAAGACTTCCTATTTTTATCCCTCTCCTTTCAATCCCTGGCCGCCCCATTTCTTAAGAGGCGAAAGGATGCAGAATAAAGAACACACAATGCGGAATCGGAAAAACTGAGTTTGTGCCCTGACTGCTACACCTTTTCTGTGTGTACACTGATACATCTCCCTTTTCCAGGGACTCCATATGCCCATCTGTAAAATGGGCAGGTTGAACTAAGCCTCATGGATCTTTCCTCCTCTCCGACGGAGCTAAGCTGGACCTGGTTATCTCCTACGGTCCCCACAGCCAGGGTTAGGCCCGTTCCACTCCCAGGCTGCTCACACTCCCGGGCACTGCATCCTTACCTCCCACTCCCAGGTTGACCTTGCGAGGGTCCGGATCCTCCCGGAAGTCAGCAGTGAGCTTAAAGACAAGGACCGGCTGGGCCTGAGGAACCTCGGCAAAGATTGATGGAGGCGCCATAGCTAGAAAGCTGGAGTCGGCCGAAAGCTTCCACTCTGCGCTTGAAGCCGCTCGGTCCGGTCCAACCGCCGCGACTGGAGGAGACTCTCACCTTCACCTAGCCGACAGGGGCGGGCCCGCGGCCTCCAATGGTCGAGCCGCGTCCGGAACTTGGCAACGCAGTTAACCAATAGCGAGTTTCTGACGCAAAAGGAACAGGATGGTATTAGCCAATCCAAGAAGAGAATCTTATCGGAGGCCGGTATTGATGAAACCAATGCAACGTACGCCGGCTGGGACGGGGCGGGGATAGAGTTGATTGGCAGAGCGTGCTCCTATCGCTGAAGCCGTTGTTCCTTGGGTCGCTGAGGGGAGGAGACGAGCGGCGTACGCGGAGGCAGCTTTCTCGACCTTCAGGCGCCCGGAGACAAGCTGGAGGTAGCTGGCGGGAGGTGGCTGGCGGCAGGTAGCTGGAGGACCGCCCTTCCGGTACCCGTGGAGCTGTTGTTCTCCCTGCCAGGCCCGGGAGTGCGCACGTTCCTGACCCAGTCTGGCCCGGCTCGGGCTGGCAGCCAAATCCGCTTCTGCGCACGGGTAGTGAGTCCTCGGCCAGGACGCGCAGCCCCGGAGCCCGCGCGGACGACCTTGACCATCTCGGCCGGCTGTTTCCCCCTGAGAGAAATGTGGGTGGGCCACCTGCGTTGGTTTCAGACAGGGGGCCATCCTACTAAAAGAGGAAGTGTCCAGGAATTCCTTTCTGCCGCTCTTACAGTTTGAAGCTTTTGCTCCCCTTTCCTTACCGAGAGAGCTTGGTCCTCACGGACCTTACGGATCTGGGCGCGGCCTCCCCCTCCAGCTTTTCTCCCACGCAGGCACTCAACCAGATCTTGCTGTCGTCAGCTGGCTGGTATTCAGACTGTCTCTTCTTTTAGTCAGGCTATTCCTTCCTCCCCAGTCCCTCTCTCCATCTGTTGACCTTCAAGATCCAGAGCAAATGCCTCCTCCCTAAAGCTTTGCCTTAACCCTCACTCTGGTTAAAATCCCTCTCTCTTTCCTGTGCTTCTGACCCTTGTTGGCAATATTACAATTGTGGAAAATGACCAAAATGCCCAGTTAAGAACCTAGTTCTGGAGCCAGACTACCTAGGTTTATATTCTAATGCTACCACTTACTAACTTGGTCAGGGCTAGGCAAGTTACTTAACCTCTCTGTTCCTGCTCCATAAAGTGGAGTTAATAGTACTTTTCTTAGGGTCGTTGTGGGGATTATGTGAGTTAATACATATGAAGTGTTTAGTTGCATATAGTAAGCACTCCCTAAATGTTAGCTATTGTCATCATTGCACAGATGCACACCCCTTGTAGATGGTAAACTTCCTTTGGCTAGAGATATTAACCCTGTATTAGTCTCCCTTAGTTTCTTGCACTTAGTAAGTATTCAATAAATGGTGGCAGGAGGAGTCAGTTCTGTTGGTTCAGAAAAAAGCAATACCTTACCCTCTGTTCATTGGATAATATGACAAATCTCAAAATGAATCTCATTCAAAGTAACAAACATAAGCCAAAAGTCCTTTGTGCAACACCTGCCAACCTTTGTATCATTTACTTCTTTTCAGAAACAGCCTCTGGTTTTAAAGATAACTGTCAACAGTGTTTCATTAACAACACTTTCCTCTAAGATTGTGAGTTCAACACTGAAGGTGAAATGACAATGAACTTTCGGTGCTTCCATAAGCAGAGGCAAAGGGCAACTGCTGAGTGAGATGTTATATAGCCCAGCCTTACCAAAGTTTGATTTAAAAGTATGATCTTCACAGCGTTGGCCAACAATGTCATGGTCACGCCTTACGTCATTCCCTGGGGGGAAAACAACCCTAAATTACCTAAACATTATCAACTTAGCTAAGTCCAAATAAATATTTATTGGCAACCTAAGCAGCCCCATAACCAAGTCAGTGCTGACAGGGGCATAGAAAGTACCATATGCAGTTTTTCTTCATGTCCCCATAATTATCTGTTCTGAATTTTAGAAAGGGGCAAACAGTTACTGGGTGTTGGGGGAAGGGATTGCATATTATGTGGGATGCAAGTCTCAAACTTTTTTCCTTGGGAATATGTTTCTTGGAGATTACTTTAAGTTCAGTAGCCTTCTATCTTGAGCCCTGCAGCCTGCCCCTGTAAGCAAAATGCCTGTATTGAAGTAAACAAAATGCTTTCCAGGCCATCACTAATTTTAACACTTGGACTTAGAATGGTTGCAAGACAGCCTCCCTGCTGAATGGATAATTCAAGCAAAAGATTCTTGAGAGGCAAACATTGCCCAGACTAGTAGGCAGCCAGGTAAAGTGAGTGTCCAGGGAAAGGGCAGTAAGGATCAGAAGGAAAAGGGGCAGGTATTCCCCTGGCTCCTGACTTCATTATGACTATCTGTCCCTACCATCTCCCTTCTGCCTTTTTTTTTTTTTCCAAAAGAATTGGAAGGGAGGACGTAGGAACCACATAGCAACAGCTTGATCGGGAATGAATTCCTTTAGAATATACTCGCTTGGAAATCTGAAGCCTTTGGGGCTAGGCAGCACTGCCGCATAGCATAAGAGGCAGGCCAGGGCAGTAGCGGGCACTGCATGGACCCCTAAGCAAATCCACACCTGCTTATTGTACTTAATCTTGCCGCTGATACCCAGAAGGTCTATGCTTAGCAACAAGGGAGGGAGGAGTTTATCACACTTTGTACTTAAGCACAAAGCGCTTTGGAATGGTTATGTTTGGGTATATGTTGTCACTAAGGGTAGGATATTATTTAGAAACTGAGTTGTGCATTGAACAAAAGTTTCTTTAAAAACCAAAGCTGTCACTTTGCTGTACAACTGAAACTAACACAACATTGTAAATCAACTATACTCCAATAAAAATTTAAAAAAACCAAAGCTGTTAGAGGAGATCTGTTTGATAGTCACCGTGTGACCAAATCGTGGGCAAGAAAGTAAGAGTAGAGTCCCTAAGCTGGTGCTGGCTTCTGATTGGATTGAGTTTACTCTTGGTCAGGAAAGTGATCGCTTATCAACCACTCCCTTCAGCTTAACTGGCTTGTTTCCTGGCTGTGCCTTGGTGGAACCATCTCCCCTTGCATCTCTTCCCTCACTTCTCTCCTCCCTCCCTTATGTATGACTTGTCTCCCCACCTGCACACATGGATTGGACCAAGTGAAGGTCTCTTGCTGTTTCCTGTTTCATAGAAGGGCATGTCTAGTGAGGCCTGCGGTGGACAAGGTCTAATGTTAGTTCTAAACTAGGCACCTACATGGGCAGAACTTTTTTTAAAGCTGCTGAGGCCTTTGTATAACAGATATCAACAGGACTGACAACTATGGATGGGCTTTATCTACTTATTAATAGAACTAAGTTCCAGGGCACCATTTAGAAATTGTTGTGCTATATAATTTTTGTACTTTACTTAAGAAGCAGTGTAGCATAATGGTTAAAAGCGTGGCCTCTGGGACTAGATTTCATCTGTATACCTCAGTTTCCTTACTTATAACATGGAGATAATATTTCTACCTCATGGGGTTGCTGTGAGGATTAAATGATTTAATGTTATTAAATGATTGACTCTCAAATGCTTTGAATTGTACTGGACACTTAGTACTCAGTATGTTAACTATCATCATTGTCATCATCACAGATGTTGTTTACAAGCATGTGCCTTTGAGATTTGTTTAGTTTGTTCGTTGATCAGCTGCATAGTAGAACAATACCTAGGCTTTCAATCAAATTCTGAAATCAAATTCTGGTTTTGCCTCTTACTAGTTTTGAAAGTTTGAGTAAATTAATATGTCTGAGTTTTAGTATTCTTATCTGTAAATTGGGGGAAAAAAGATGTTTTTCTTGGTGTTGATACACACACACACACACACACACACACACACGAATTTAACACAGTTGTAGAAATTATTATCATGAAGATTACAATTTAGTTCCTGGGTAGCTATAAGGTAATGGTTAGACTGTCTTTAAAGTCTGTCTGCCGTGGCCTCTTGAGGGCATGTACTCTGAAATTTTTTGTAATGGAAAAGAAAACAGAACATAATTCTTAACATCTTCAACCCTTCAAGAAATCTTTGTAGAGATCTGTAAAATCTCAAAGCAATTTAAAGGTAACAAGACATTTAATAATTAATTAAAATGTAGCTATATTAATAATAGCCCTTAGTATTTCTATATTATCTTTTTCTGAAGAGTAGAGAGTGTTTTAGACACCCTATTCCACTACTCTCTTAACATGCCCAGGTGACTGTCATCTCCAGTCAGAGAAATACAGAGAAGGAAATAGATCACCCTAGCTAAAAGCTGATGAGAACGCACCAAATGACAGACCAGAAGGCTACAGACCTTAAAGTCAGAAGAAAGTTTCCTCCCCTTGCCCCGTTTCTCCCTAAATGCATCAAAACACAACCTCTTACCTCTAGAGCAATGTCTTAAGCTTTCTTCCCCCCCAAGTTGTAATATCCTTTTTTTTGTTGGTAGGTCATGTCCTAAAAGTCCTATGCTTTGATACAAGAGGAAGGTAGATGAAGAGATAATGAAGGAAACAAATTCAATGTATTTTCCAAGAACACATTTCTTTTAAACAGCTCCTAAAGGGGTAGTGTAAAACCTTGTAATAGATTGTCTTCCTCTACCCGACATGTCTGGGGTGAAGTGCGGGGTGATGCGTGGATGTAGAAGTGTACTGTGAACATTGCAACATCCTGCAGTAGAGGGCAGCACTGCCCTTCTTTTGCAAAATGTTGAGCACTCAACGAGAAGGAAAATGAAAAGCAAAGCTCTTGACCACTGTGTCTGTGCGTTTACTTTTACCTAATATTTAAAAAACAAAAAATTAGAGTATTTTTCTTGTTTAGGTGATTATGTAGAAATAACGTCAGATCCTGTATTGCCCTGAAGTAATTGGTGAAAAACGCAGGTTTTAGGATATGGGCTCTGTTCAGGATATGGGTTGTGTCTGACAGAGATAAACAGTAGCTTGACCCTAGGCAATCAGATAGGGTTATTGTATGAACAGACCTAATGCTCCTCTGCACTTTCTGGGGAGAAGTCAGTCCACTGAACTAGCAGGATGTGGTTTTAAAAATGTGTGTAAGTCATATGGTCTTAGCCCGGATAACTGCTTTTAAATTTGAATTCACTGATTTTATTCTGCTCTCTGTGTTAGTTTTCCTTTCTGTCACACCTGGGTCAGATCAGACCTGTACCATATGTATTATGACTTTAAAGAATGATGTCAGACATGATGAGTAAGGAATGTCTGTCATGGGACTGCAGTTGGCTAAATGGCTGTGTGTATACAGTGGTGAAATTAAAGTCTTGCATGTTAGTCCTCATTCAATTGCAGTTTGACTTGAGTTTCTCTATGCAGTAACTAGCAAGAAAAAAATAATCCCTTATTTTGTATTAAAAGTTACTTGATGCTCTTTGGCAGGATGACAGCGAGGAGAGAATAATCATAATTCTAGCTAATACATAACCATAGTGTCCCTGGCACATTTGGATTCTGCTGTAACCCTCAAAACTTTCTGGCAGCAAAACTTCAGTGCCAACTTAAATAAATCCCACTAGGAGTAAGAACTGGAAGACATGAGTCTAGTTCCCAGTTCTGCCGTGTGAACTTGGAAAAATTACGACCTCTGAGCCTTTGTTTCCTCATCTGTTAAATGGAGATAATGTCTCCTAGATCTGGTAAAAGGGTCAATTTGGAAAATATATGTCAAAGTGCTTTGAAAGCCCTTTAAGTACCTAACAAATATTTCTATCACTGTAGTCAGATTCCTGCTTTTTCTAAACTCCTATAAGAATTTGTGTCTCTTCTCCTCATTTGGTATCATTACCTTGCCTGAGATTGTACATTTTCATGCATACTTAACTTTTTTCTCCAACTTGATAGCTTCTTAGTTCCTTGAGAACTGAAACCACCAATTATATTTCCTGGTATCCTGCACCGCAACAAGATATTTGGTACATAATAGACACTCAAATATTTGTTGATTGATTTAAAAATACACTCTAATGCAGAATTAACTCTTTTTATTTAATTATGGTAAAAAACATATAACGTAAAATTTACCATCTTAACCATTTCAAAGTGTATAGCGCAGTAGATTTAGCTACATGCACATTGTATACAACAGATCTCTGTAACTTTTTCATCCAGAATTAATTCTTAATAACTATCTTCCAAATCACCTGCTTTCCAAAGCACATCTTTGTTGATTGGGCAAAAACAGGAAAAAAATACAGGACTTTCACTCTGCGGATAGGGATGTGTAGAACAAGGTAATCGAAAGACTTCTACTTTGTTTTAAATTCTCACTCCCCTCAGAGAGGTTCTGTCCTGGTCTCTCTGTAACCATTTTCTCAGCCATTTTCTATAAACATGGGAATATATGCCAGAAAAGAGAGGTGCCTCTATAAAATGCTTTCACAGGTCATTTATGTCTAGCATATAATTAAACATTTACATGAAGAAAACTATCACGTTAAAAGAAACTGTTATTATTTGATTTCCAGAATATGTGACTTCTGTTAATTACTGAAAATTAAGTACTATTTTTAATCATTATTGCTATCACTGTAGCAATTTTTTGAAATTTAAATATTTAAACTACAAACAAAATAGGGAAGATAGTGGAGATTTTTGAAACAGTACTGGGGTGGAATAGACTTTCCCAATCATGACACAATCTCAGAAGCCGTAAAGAAAAACATTGACGATAGACACCATAAATTAAAATATGATGACTTGGAAAAAATATTTGCAGCCTGCTTATCAGTCACATCCAGTAGATACTCAGCGTTTCATTGTATTGATATAAAAATGAATTAAGGATATAGAGAAATCAATCAGGAAAGAATAAATACAAATGGCCAATAAATGGACCAAAAATCATACTCATTATACAATTGAAACCGCACCAATTAATCCATTTTTGCCCATCAGACTGACAAAAATATTTATAAATATGGATAAAATAGTGTCATTGAGAGTGCAGGGTAGGGTAGGCACTTTCATGCACTATTGGTGAGAGTGTCACTCGATAAACCCTTTTCTTAGAATGCATTTTGGCAATATCAGTCAAAATGTGTATACCATTTCACCAAGCAATTTCTCCTCTTAGGAATCTATCCTAAAGACATTTATACAAGTTTACAAAGAGAGACAGTCATATACAACTATGCATTGCAGCATTGCTTTAATAGAGAAATAAACAATGACATACTTTCCAACAAAGGTGTTATTTTATAACCTAAAAAATCAAGTTTTTATTGAAAAAATAACATTTGAAAGAGACAACAAGAATACAAAATTAAGATAGTCTCTAATAATGGTAATTAAGTAGAACAGACAGAGGGAGGAAAATAGTTCTACAAAGCTCTAGAAATGTAGTAATTTAAAACTTCAGAAGTTATGAGAATATGTTTTAATAAAGATTAATGGGACACACTACAGTTTTGAGCTGATCTGGAAATCGAGGGAGCTCTTGAAAATCACTTGTTAGTAAAATAGTAATTTTTTAAAACATAAATCCCAAGACATTGTGTCTCAGGACCAAAAACAGCTCCTGACATCTAGTGAACACTCAGTAAATATTGGCTGAAGGAATGAAGGAGGATGATATCTCCAGCAGAGTTGTCATAAAAATGGATACAAAACTGCCTACAGATCAGTGCTTGATACATAGCAAGTGTTCAGTAGATACTAGCTCACTAATTTCCTGGAAGCCTGTTGGTGCTTAGTACCTGCTTGGCACATTACAGGAGTTTGTTTATTTAAAACCATGTACATAGTGCTCACTATATGGCAGGTACTGTTCTAAGTGCTCAATAAAAACTAACTCAAATTACAGTAACAATGGAAGTAGGTTGTCTTATTATTCCATTTAACAGATGAGGCAATTGAGGCAAAAAGCACTGGAACAATTTGCCCAAAATGGCACAACCATAAAATGGTGGGGATATGAATTTAGACAGCCTATCTTCAGGGTCCCTGCTCCGCTGTGCCATATGGCCTCTGGTGTCATAAAAGTTTATTGAGTGAAAGAATGCATGAGATGTTCTGGTTTTAGATATTATATTGTGCTTTTATTCCAAGGACTTCAGAATATTTTATATTAATGCATACCAAAATTTAATCCCACAACTTCTCCTTAAGGTAGAGCATATTTTAAAAAACATTTAAAATGTATTACTGGTTCATTACTTGAGTTTAAAAAGACCACAGGAGGTCCTTGTTCTGTGGTGAAGTCACTGTATTTGCTTTCTGGCATCATATTAATTTCCATACAAGTGTTCCAAGTTTGGAACAGAGAAACATCCTGCTCTAGAAATGGAAGAGGCATAGGGCTTACAAAGAAAAATGACCTAACAATGTCAAAATTATTTAAAGGGATAAGGTGTGAGTTTTAATCTTCCACATGACTAAAGCAATGGGTCTCCAACTTTTCCAATCAGGAATCCTTCTTCCGTAGCTAAGCTTTGTCGACTGAAAAAATATTCACAACCTAAAAGTTGAGAGTAATGTTTTATTTGGTGGGAATTTTTAGGGCTTCAAGCCCAGGAGGCAGCATCTCAAATAACCCTGAGAGAACTGCTCTGAGGAGGTGAGCGGGGAGCTAGGATATATAGGAGTTTTGCGACAAAGGGCAGGTAGTAGGAACAAATGATTACTGTTAATTAAAGAAAACTAGAAATCTCAAGTTAAGGAATTTATTGCTTTTCTATGTATGGGAAGATGCAAGAGTCTGGGCTCACTGAAATCATTCCTTTGATATGTACTTCAGCTAACTGGGGCCAGTATCCTGTGTTTTCTCATCCTGAGTTTCCTCAGGGCTCACCCTAGGGAGTAGCTGCAGCCTGATGGCTGCTAGATGGCAGGTACACTTTCCCTTCCTGAGTTTCCTCAGGGCTCACCAGCTCACCACTGGCTGTGGCTGCAATTGCTGATGACTGTGACATCTTTTGTTTACTGATATGGCAGGCAATATTCCATTTATCAGCTTTGTAGTCTTGAGAGCCTTTTATTTTTTTACTTTTAATTATAGTTTTAACCTTAGTTACATTAAAACTCCATCTCGTAACATAATACCACTGTTTCTTTTTCTTCATAATTTTCTTCATGATTTTTTCCATTCACTTCATTCATTTTATCAATATTTATTGACCATCTACTATGTGTCAGGCATTGCACTGGGTGCTAAAGATAACATGGTGAGGGACTTCCCTGGTGGTCCAGTGGTTAGGACTCGGAACTTTCACTGACATGGCCTGGGTTCAATCCCTGGTCAGGGAACTAAGAACCACAGCCGCACGGTGCGGCCAAAATAGAAAAAGATAACATGGTGAACAAAAAGACAAAGTCCCTGTCCTCACGAATTCTCTAATCTAATGGGGGAGACAGACAATAAAAGCAGTGCACAAATAAAATTACTAAAATTACAGCCATGGTAAGTGCTGTTTGTCCTTTCATGGAAAAGGAACGTGAAAGCATATTAATAAGGGGAATTCATCTAGTTGAGGCCAGTTCTTTCCCCTCAGAATGTTCCCTCCAGCGTGGATAGCATTCCCCTTCTAATTCCCACCCCAGCAGCACCTCTTAGACCCTACAGCTTGCACATATTAATCTTAAATTTCTGGAATATGTTTTGGAAGCCAATGTTTTCAAGAGAAAATGGCCCATTAAAATAATACCTTTGTTATTTATTAGTGCTTCTAGCTCTTTTGTTCCAAATGATAAAAGCGCAAAAACAGCATTTAAAAAAATCTAGTTTCTATTAGTAAGATAAGTATCTTTATCTTTATGACTCAGTTGAGAAATGTAAAACTAGTAAAAAATTTATTCTGAATCACATAGATCTTTATTAAATAAAAACAGATATCAAGAGAAGGGAGAATCAGAAACGTGTACTTATATGTTTATTATTCTTATCCTACACAGGACAGGAATCTCTAAAGAGTGAGAGGAAAACTGATGACAGGCACTGCCCAAAGAAGATGGAACTGTCATAGTTGGTGAGTGGATATCACCAAGAGACTTACGGTGTCTCCTCCATGTCTGACGGAGATAGCAGCCAGTGCTGGGCTGCAAAGTCTCCTCTGGAAGACCACTGAACCAAGAGAGTAAATGGTGTGCAGAGACAAGTCAAGTTCAGAATTGGAGCCTCTGGTCCCCCCAGGAAGGAATGGGTTGTAAACAAGGTGAAAGGCAGTGGGATGAGCACTACAGGACCCATGGGCTACCATCAGGATCCCCCAGAAGGGAAAGTTACAGAGACAAGAAATAGTATTGGGCAAGCTCCAGGATTACAGATGGTATGACAGCCAATAGGCTTGGAATGCTTTTAGTGCCATATTCAGGATGTGCCCCTGTTTAGGGCATGGGATTCCAAGATGAAAGCCATCCTTGTTTAGCTGATGTAGAGGAAGAGCTTCTTTGCCGTCCATCCGTCTCCACCCTATATTCCCTTCTCCTTTAACTCCTTTCTTCGTCATGCTAAGTGTCCATCATTTCAGTGACACCCAGTTTCTTCTATTGAATTGAGTTCTCCATTGTATTTAGCTCACTACCTTTAATCCAGGTGCTTACTAATGAGTGTGGTCCTCAGATCAACAGCATCAGAGTCACCTTCATGCTTGTTAGAAATACAAAATCTCAGGCCCACCCCTGACCTACTAAGTTGGAATCTGCATTTTAAGAAGATTCCCAGATTTTTCCTAAGCATTTTAAAATTGAGAAGCATCATTTTACCCCCATCAGCTTCCAGGACTGTAAAATGTCCTGGCCCACCTTGCTCACAGCTTTGAATTGAAGATGCTGAGATTAAAAAAGGAAAGCATTCCCAAAGATAAAAATGCCATGCAGCTATTAAATATCATATTTATTTTCACTTGGATAACTTGATTTACTCAAGGTGTTTTCAGAGTAAATGATTAAAAATTAATCAGTGACTATTTGACTGTCTCTGATTACTTCCATAATAATTGATTGTACTATCTTAAAATGCTCTAGAGTTCTGTTTTATTTTGTTTAATGTGTAGATCATGATTCTCAATCCTTGCCTCACATTAGAATTTTCCAGTTTTTTTCTGAAAAAATCCAAAGCCTAAGCCCTACTCGCAAAGATTCTGAATCAGTGGGTCTGCAGTGCAGCATGGGTATACATCATTTTTAAAAGTTAGTAATAGCAGACATATTGGAAACAATTTTAATGTCTACCAGTCAGTGAGTGATTCCCTAAGTAGGGCACATCCCGATAATGCAGTACTGTGCTAATGTGGAAATGAATGAGGAAGACTCATATGTACTGCTATGAAAATATCTCCAAGATATATGTACTATTCAGGTTTTTTTTAAGTTACATAGCAATATATATGATCTCATGCGAAAAGATGAGTGTGCATATGTACATACATGTGTATGTAAATGTTCAGAAAGATGACTGAAATATACTTACTGAACTGTTGACAGTGCTTACCTCTGGGAAGAGGAATGGGAGGGAAAGGGACTTTTTGCTGTGTAAACTTCTAAATATTTTACAAGAATGTGTCCATGCACTACTTGTGTAACTATTCCAAGTGCATTCCAGGGCTACTGGTTGTCATACCATCTGTAATCCTGGATTACAGACTATTTAAGCTAATTATTATTTTAATATTATAATCTTAAATGCATAATTTTATAATAAGTAGCAGAGTGGCTGACAAAAAATAAATCTATAATTCCTGCACCAAACAAAAACTGCTAGGGCACCAAGGTTTTTGTTATTAAACCTGTAGCTTTTTGATTCTGGGATTACTGGAATTGTGTTAGTCTGACTTTTCCAGATACATTCCCCCCACACCCCCGATGTTACACTTGGCATTGTCGCTAATAACCTCTCTGGTTCCTTGGATATCTCATCCGTGCGAGCAGATCCCACTTCTGGAAAGATCTCTACATTAGCACTTCGTAAATTCTCCCTTGTCCCAGGCCTAAAAATCACTAGGGACAAAAGGTCTCCTACAGCTCAGCCATGCTGAGAGCCAGGTCTCCCCCATTTTAAGCAGCTGAGAAAAGCACACTGATTAAGCTACAGTATGAGGGCTGTGCATCTTGTCTAGGGCAAAATTCTCAAAGTCTGCTCTGATAGCTCATCCTCTTTGAAATGGTGATTAAGAACTGGAAGTGTATAATGAGGGAAATTGCTTATGAATCTGTGCCTCTCAGCCCCAGGCCACTTCTCTTTGTCTGAGAGAAACTCAAGGATTTTTACCCTAATAGAATTGGAACAAAGTCTGGGCTAAGGCAGGCTGGTGGGACCCTGCTGACAGCTCGTTAGAAACTGTCCCTCTCCCACTCCCTCTTTCATTCCTTCAAGTTACAAAGCCTGACAGAGTTTGATGGGAAAACCAAGGCGGTAACATCCCCTGTGGCAACCAAGTCCCTGCTCATCTATCTTTGACAGATAAGGAGAATAGATGTCACCTTCAAAACACCTCACTCACTGGAGCCAAGTGTACCAGGACAGCCCTGTCTCCCTCGCAGGACCCTACAGGAGGAATCCAGACAAGGCCCACCTACCACAATGGAGATTTCTCTCTAAAGAAAATCATTTTAACCAGACAGTTCCTGAAAACCAAATGCCCACTCTAGTTGTCCTCAGAAAAGGGCATAACATCTAATAACTCAAAGAAAGTTATGCTTTGATTTACAAAAGTCTTTTCCGGGTTACACCCTCTTTGAGGGCTGGTGACCATCTAAGATCTGAGAAGTCAGTCTAGGTTCCATGCAGACTGCTGGGAAGGGGAGTATGACAAAACAAAACAAAAACATCTCTACACACCAGCTGGCAGAGGCTGTGACGCACTGGGATCAGCCCAAGCTTCTGTCAATGGTTCTCTGACTTTAACATGCCTCAGACAAATCTGTGAAGCTTGTTTAAAATGCATATCCCAATTCAGTAGGTCTGGAGTAGGACCAAGGAATCTGCATTTTAACAAACTATCTAGATGATTCTCACTGCTGCTACAGGGTAGCGCCTCCAGCAAGGGCTTCTAATGGTGCTTCCAGCACACCTCTTGGCGGAGCTCCTCTTCGCCTCCCCCAGCAAGCCCAGAGTGGGTCCTCAGCAGCTGTTCCTGTTGGAGGTGAAGCCTTTTGTCTTTAGGATTCTCCTGGCCATAACAATAGTCCCTCACAACAGAGGCATCTCCCAGACACCAATCTCTCAGAGCCCTTTCCAGAAGGCAACTCCAACAAAGTCCTGCTGAGCCCAATGCTGCCACCTGGACACAGTGGTTGTTGGTTTTAACCAATTGCTTTTTATTGGCTCACAGGCTCTTAAACCTCATTTTGCATCAGAATCACCAGGGGATCTTGGTAAAAGTCCACGGACCCAGGCCCCGTCCCAGAACCACCTAGAAATAGAGGCAGTTGATCAGTAGTTTCACAAGCTATCAGATGATGCTGATGCACACCCAAGTTTGAGAACTGCCATTGGAAGGAAAGCAACAATCATAGAAACATTAAAGTCCAGCCACTGTTTTGCAACAACTGAAATCTAAAACACTATTAACACTAAACACAGTTGGTTCTCCTTCCTTGCTCTCTTACTGTCCCTAATAACTTTTCCACTCAAGTATTTAAATACTTTCCTAGAGGGGAAAAGCTACTAGACTACCTGACTTACTAAACACAAATATGCTGTGGTTTAAGAAAATCTATACACAGAAATCTAAACTTTTAAAACTAATTAGAGATTATTTTTATCATTACAAAAAATTATAGTGATAATAATAACTAATATTTATTATGTTCTTACTATGTGCCAGGTACTGTTCTAAGCACTTTCTAAGCGTTTAACTATCTGATATTTATTAAGCACTTGCTTTGTAATGAAAACAGTTATTTCATTTAGTGCTTCATTTCCTCGAAGCATTCTAATAGATGGGGTAACAGATGAGGAAACTGAGGAACAGATAAGTTAATTACTTGCCAAAAGTTGCACAGCTGTTAAGCAGTAGACCTAAAGTTTGAACCCAGAGCCCAGTTCTTAAAGATTATATCACCTCGCTCATGTTATAATGATAGGGCTTTATTTAACAAATGTCTATAATTAGATTGTCAAGTGCCAGTAATGGGGGTTATGTTCTAAGTATACAGTGACAAACAAGACAAATACCCTGGCTTTCTGGGGCTTATGATCTGGTGGATGATCCAAATGTGTAAACAAGTCATTCAATGCAGTGTGAGGAGTGCAATACTGGGAAACTGCCGGGGTGGGTGCTAGACACATAGGCTAGAGCAAGAGGACCAAAGAGTTGTAAAAGCCCAGAGTTTAAGGACCACAGGACACGGTTAGTGGAAGAAATGAAAAATGGCTTGGTCTGATTGGAGCAGAGAGGGAAGAGAGAATGTGTGAGCAATGAGATTAGAAAGGTAACCTAGCCCCAGATTTTGAAGGACCATGTAAAGCATGTTAAAGGGTTTTAGCATGCAGGAAATGGGGTTCTGTTAGAAGGTATCAGGCAGAGCATGGAGCTAAGGAGGGAGATTTGGCCTGATCCGTTGACTTGTCTGTCACAGGCACGCAGTGGCCACTAAAGCCACAGGAAGATACTATCACCCAAGGGAAGGAGAAGAGGGCCTCGGACAGCAGCTTTAGGAGCACCAGCATTTCAGGGCTGCAAAGAGAACGAGAAGACTCCCCCAAAAAAGATTCACAGGAAGGAGGAGGAAAACAATGAGAGGTGATGTAATTTGCCCATGTTCACAAAGCTAGTAAGTGGCAAACTTAGAATTCAAAATGTCTCTATCATCCCAAAGCCACATTCTTGACCTCAACATGTCTTAAATATTGTTTTCCCTTACTGCCTGGTGACGTAAAAGTTTTATTTATACGTTTTTCCAGGGGTTCATTTATATAACAGCAACAACAAATTTGTCATGGAATTTGTTCAGTGCATCCTTGAGTTGCATTAAGGAAGCAAACTCATGAAACATGCTTGTAGTGGCCTCCTCATGGCTCTCCTTGTGTGCTCTGGCAAATCTTTGGCTGGGACATGCTCTCCTTCTACCCAAGAATGCCCCCTAGGACATAGCCATGCACAGTTCATTGGCAGATGCTTAGGATTTCTCTTCAGAAGTCCTTCCACGTGGCACAAGGGGCACGTACAAATCCAGGAACCACTCTGGGTATCCATAAATAAGTGCAGGATATACAACAGTTCAGAAGTTATAAAGTAAAAATAAATTATTAAATCCCCCTGTCTCCCCAACCTCATTGCCTATAACCCATTCCCAGAAATACCATTGTTAACAATTTAGTATATATCCTTAAATGCATTTTCTACACATATATAAATAAGTTTTTTAATGAAAGGGGTCATATTATCTGTATTGTTCTGAGACTTGCTGTTTAAACTACAAAGTGGCCATCTCTTCACATCAGTGTATGTAGATTTACTACTTCATTCTTACCGCATACCAGTCCACATTATGAAGGTGCCATTATTGCTTTAATCAAATCCTCTATTGATGGCCATTTGTGTTGTTTCTAGGTTTGTTTTGTTTTGTTTTCAGGACGCTTTGCTTCTGCAGAGTGTGAGGGGCCCAAAAAAATGTTGTTTGGGCTCAATTTTGGACCAAACATTTTTCTGAATTTGCCATTGTTTGTCCTTAACTTTCTTCCCTTTTTGAGCTTGTTGGCTGTTTCCCTCCTGCTGTTCCCTCTAATCTCACTAATACTCAGTTCAAGGTATGTTTGTTGCTTTAAAGATCTCCTTACAAAATCTAGGACTCTTTGGAGGAGGTGTGTTCAGCAAATAAACAAACTACTATCCTGACTTTACATTCTTATTCTAGAGGATTTCGGAGATGCTGGAAGAAGTTCTCCTGTTATCTGGGAATCAGCTTAAAAGCCTCAAGTTATGTTTAAACTGTGCTTCTCATTTCCTTTTTAACAGTATCATAGATAAAGATTGACTGAATATGTTTAAACTGAAGGCATAGCCTATAACTTCAAAGAGTTTACTGGCTCCTACAGTCTACTGGGAGGCAAAATTAGTGTAAGGGAAACAGTTGGAGAGCAGTTGAGTATTAATTATGTGTTACAAGCCCTTGGGCACCAAAAGTTCAGGGAGGAGAAAGCTGGAGGAGTTCTCTGCCCCTCCAAGGGGAAGGTGGAACTTGAGCTGAGTTAGAAAGCAGGAGGTAACTTTCGGAGAATTTTAGGCAGAAGTTGGAAGGCGTTTCAAGTACAGGGTAAATTTTCATACCTTTTTATTATCTGAAATTTTCTTAGTTTTTGTTTAGGATCTGCTTACCCCCCTGAGAACATAAGCTTGATGAAAGCAAGGACCGTTTCTTATCACTGTTGAATCCCAGTTCCTGGTACAGTGCCTGGCACATAGTGGATGGTCAATGGATTTATGAATGAATGAACAAATTAACAAACGACCATGGGGTGTGTGAAGAGCAGTGAGAAGACTGGACTATTTGGAAAGAAGTGTCTTTCCTTGAGGAGTAGAGGAATCTCCGATTCTCCAACAGACTGGCAGAGGAACAAGTAAATGGGCCTGCATGGGATTCAAAACACAGGGGCAAGTGGAACCAGCTGAACAAGGTATGATGATTGCCAAGGTGGACCCTGTGTAGATTGCAATAGGGCACTTGAATCTGAAATTAAATTAAAGCACAAACAAAGGAAAATTGATCTGCATAGCCTCCTGGACTCTGCTTGGTCAGCCGACAGTTAGACTTAAAAAAAAAAAAAAAAAGATTTGTTCAGTTCTACCCTTCCCTTGCTAAGAATACAGTAAAATGTTAATGTGATCACAATACTTTTATTAACACCTACCATGATTGTATTCACTCTTTAAGCAGATCGGTTCATTTTTATCTCATACTGAACCAGTTGTCCAAAATAATGGTTTTTTTATTTTGTTTTTACGTAAACTTGTTTTGTAGGTCTTTCCATCCTATGCTCGTAAATTGATTATTGGACCTAAATGCAGTGCTTCACATTCCTGGCACATCCTCTCTTATTGATTTTAGACCATCTTTCACCTTATGGAATTCATTTTGAACCTTGATCCTATCATCAATCATAGTAGTTGCTCCTCTTAGCTTGGGGTAATCCATATATATGGTCTGCAAATCCCCAAGGATTTGGATGCCTAGAGATCCTTTGGAGAGTTTTAAGGGGCAAGGAGTGTTTACCAGCTGATATACCACCAGCCATGTGCAAAAAAGAAATGACATTTGGCTCTAGGATGACATTAGGCTCATGGCTACGTGGGGCAAAACTTGAAGGTAGTTGGAAAGGAGAAACTGTTGGAATTCCAAGTTAAAGCAAGCCAAGGTCAGAATCTCCAGTTTAAGCAACCCAGAAAGTTTTCTTCTAGGAAGCAGCATTTTAGATGCAGAAAGGGGAAAAGTAGCTTGACAAGTTTTGAGGCAGACAGCAAGGGGGAAAGGGCATGTTGATTAGTTCGTTGATTTATTGATTGATTGATTGATTTTTGGCTGCGTTGGGTCTTCGTTGCTGCATGCGGGCTTTCTCTAGTTGCTGCGAGCGGGGGCTACTCTTCGTTGCAGTGCGCAGGCTTCCCATTGTGGTGGCTTCTCTTGTTGCGGAGCACGGGCTCTAGGCTCATGAGCTTCAGTAGTTGTGGCACGCGGGCTCTAGAGCGCAGGCTCAGTAGTTGTGGTGCACGGGCTTAGTTGCTCAACGGCATGTGGGATCTTCCCTGACCAGGGCTCAAAGCCGTGTCCCTTGCATTGGCAGACAGATGCGCCACCACTGTGCCACCAGGGAAGTCCCATGTTGCTCAGTTTAGAAGCAAAACTAGGGGTGAGAGAAGGACGACCAGCCAAGTTAGATTGTGAGCCTCATTGCCTGGCAGGCAGATATTAAAATTCACTTAGACTTGTGGACTACTTGGAATAATCTTCCCTTCCAGCTCTCAGGAATAAGTCCTACTTTGGGGGTTTAAGATGTTTCTCCTCCTCTAGCCACAGTCCAGGTTCTTCACTGGAATTCTGCCTCATTGAGACTCCTCTCACTCTGTCTCTGTTGTAAAATCAATTACAATTGGCTTACATCTCCAGTTCTGGGTACATTTTCCATCTGCTCCAAACATGCACACCCTCCGACTGTACCATTCCCCACTCCTCCCACCTCCCCCACCCCCTTCCTTCTCCCCATTAACTTTATCTTCTTAAGCAGCTCAGGAACACAGATGTTTTCACCCTGTAGCTCCGGCACAAGGGTATTTTCCCAGTGTCTCTCTGTGTGTATGCTCCAGGCACAGTCTCTCTGGGGAGGGAGAGAGTAAATGTTTTCATTCCAAACCCTCAGGGTCAGGTCTTGTTTGTCTAAACTGTGTTTGTTGCCATAATTATCAGATTAGCTGATCTCTGGCAGCAAGTTGGGGGGCAGGGGAGGGGAGAGGATTAACCCTTTGTAGGGTGGTTGCTGTGTTTTGCCACGGGAATACTTCTGGGAGGAGCTGTCATTTCTCTTCTAACCTGGAGGATTTGGCTAGAATTCTTTTCACCAACGCTAACAGGCCTCAGTAATAGTTTGCTCTGAGTCAATCCAGCCACCCAATGGGCTCCACTGCTGGGATCCAAAAGGCATTTAGTAGAGATGGAGGTTGAAAGGGCATCTCTCCAGGGATCTGCTGGGGAAAGAAAGAGAAGGAGCTTAAAGAGAATCTAGATAAGTAACTCAACAAGGGGTATCAGCGTCTCTCAGGCTGAATAAGGAAACCAGGAGTATGCACTGGACGTCTTCAGCCTGTCCACCCACCCCCTGCCCCTTAGCATAAAGGCTGTGAGACTACCAGGCCCCATTTAGGTTTGTTTAGGGACTTTCTGTTGTTACAAAGAATACCACGATCATTTTCACCACTGCAGTTTTCACAAAACCAATGGTCTCCCTTTGTAAGAATATTCCCAGCTTTTGTCATCAGACTCAAATGGCTGGGCATTTCAAGATTTTCTCGTCTTCCCTTGTCTCCCATAGCACGACTGAAAGATACCATAAATACAGAGGTTGCTTTCTCCTCTCAACTCCAAGAGTAGCAACTCCTTTGCATTTTAATTCTCTCTTTTACAAATGAATAAATCTTGTCTCCTCAAAAGTGTCTAGGCTCTGGGCTTCCCTGGTGGCGCAGTGGTTGAGAGTCCGCCTGCCGATGCAGGGGACACGGGTTCGTGCCCCGATCTGGGAAGATCCCACATGCCGCGGAGCGGCTAGGCCCGTGAGCCATGGCTGCTGAGCCTGCGCGTCCGGAAGCCTGTGCTCCGCAACGGGAGAGGCCACAACAGTGAGAGGTCCGCGTACCGCAAAAAAAAAAAAAAGTGTCTAGGCTCTTTGAGGACAAGAATATCCTTGAGTCCCATATATTGGAGGACCTAAACATATAAATAGGAAGTTCTTAGTAAATATTTATTGTTGATAGCGTTTTTCTAAACTTCTTTTTTCCATTTCTCACCTCTGTTCCTTTCTGTTTTGTGTTTGATTTTTTGTGTGTTTGTTTGATTGTATACTGATCCTTTATTTCTGGACCAGTCATCCAATTCATACTCATCAAATCTTCCTCCTTTTTTCACCAAACAGACACACACACAGAGTGAAGAGTGAGAGAAGGAAACTGGAAGCTAACATTTACTGAGTGTCTATATACCTAACATTATGCAAACTTATTCCATGTGCTTTTCAAATACCTTGTTTGAAACCCACAATGGCTTCTGAGATAAGTGCTATCAGTCACATAGAAGGAAGTGGAGACTCAGTTGTCACATACACAAGCTCCCACAATTTTAAGTGGTGGAATGAAGATTGAGCCGCAGATGTCCGTGGCCCTAAAATCCATACAGATCCCATCTTTCTAGTTATGGAAGTGGAGAAAAGTTCAGACAATTAGGGAAAACACACTTTTACCAGAACCCTGACTAAAAATCAACCAGTCTCTCTTTGGTATTTTTTCCCCAACGAATATAACTATAATAAAATCTGTATTAAAAATAAAAGAAGCTCAAACCCAATACACAAATTCTGAACAATATTTTATACAATAAAGTAGTTTTGGAATTGCCTTAGCTTTAGTTATAACTGAATTAGAATCATCTGTTCATGTCCATTCTGTTTATAAAGCTGTCATTGCTTGAAAGCAAATATGATTTTAAAATATTCTATGCAACCCAGACACTGATGCACCCAACACTGAAAAAAGTGGCTGCTGACGTAGAATATTCCCGTGTTCTGAGAGGACAAAAGTCTTCCTCTCTACTGATATTGCCAGACCTGGTTGCAAACGTAGATAGGGTTCTTGGAAAGAAATGTACACAACCAGATTTGGGCAGGAGTTTTCAGTTCTGTCCCAAGAGCAGAATTCAGGTGAACGTCCATGGAAGCAAACAGCCAGGGATCCAGCTCCCTTCTCTGCTGCCAGAGAGGTGCTCTGTTCAACATGCAGCCAGCTAAGATGCCACACATCTCCATGTTCTACCCAGGGTTCTTCTCTCCTGACACCTGCTCACCCTTCACCATAAGCCACATAGGAGAAAGATCCTACAGATCTTGAATAGGTCAACTGAACTGTGTTTGTCAGTTGTTCTGATGGGAGAGTTAGTGGCAGACAGGTTGAAATGATTTTGTTCCTGATGCAGAAATCTCACTGACATGGAAAGAAATTCACTTAGCTATATTAGAAAAGTTTTTAAAAACACTGGGAAATGGAAGGAGAGATGATACAAGTGCCTTAAAGTAAATTCAAAGAAGGACTTACTTTAAAAGATCACAAGGTAGGAAAGGTGATTTTGGCACCTTGCGGCAGAGTATTAGCCATATGTAGAACAAAACAAGGCAGATTCTTATGAAAGAGAGTCTCAGGTTCCTACAATACCTTTCTTGATCCTGGCTATGAACAGTGAGCTTGTTGTTATTAAGATGCTTGAGATCCCACTCTACCACTAATAGCTGTGTGACCTAAGGTAAGTCACACACCCTCTCTGGGGCTTGTGGGGAAAGTTGAGGATTGGACTAGATGACATCTAGATTCCTTCTTTTGTGGATATGCCATCAAATTCTGGGCCCCTGTAGGGAAGCAAATAGGAAACGGTGTTTAGATAAATTACATTTA